TTTTTTTTTTTTTTTTTTTTTTTTTTTTTTTTTTGAAACACTGACCCTTTAATAAGAGTCAGCAAGAAATATAGGATCCCTTCCCTCCCCCGGCCTGCCTCCGCCGAAGCCACCACCACCACCACCATCTCTGTGGCTGGACGCTGGAAGAGTCCTCCATGTTTGTGGACTCAGGATGACAGGGCAGCCTCCTTCTGTGGTTGTTGGGCTTGTGAACGCTGCAGTATCTTTTGGCTTTCCACATCTCTAAAATGTTTTTCAACCTGCAAGAGTACAACAAAGCAGACAAGTCAGAAATGGAGATGGGAGAAGGTCTCCTGTACAATCTAAGCCAGGCTTCCCAGGCCTGGCTGTTTGGCCCATGGACTATGCAGTCAACTTCAGCCTTGCTGCTGTCCACTGGCCTCCCATGCTGCAAGGTAGGCAGGAGGAGCTTCTTGTTTCAGCCATATGTGTGGCAGTTGAGCTAAGACTGGTTTATGTTGCAGCTATAAACTATTATGTAATAAAATGAAGAGTAATTATTACCACCAAAATTCCTCCTTCCTTTCTAACAATGTTTTTAAATTTTATATTTATTTTAAATTATGTGTAGTTGTGTATGTGCATGTGGGAGAGTGCAGGTGTCAGAGCCTTGGGTCAAACGGAACTTGGAATACAAACAGTTGTGAGCTGCCTTACATAAATGCTGAGAATAGAATTCAGGTCTTTTAGAAAGCAGCAAGTGCTCTTAACTGCTGAGCCACCTTCTTCAGCCCCTTCTTCCTTCCTGACATAAACACAGAAGAAAAAGCTACTGGGGAGGAAAAAAAATCAATCCCATTATACTTTCTAAATCCACGATGCTCAGACCTGAGAGATGGCTCAGTGCTTAAGAGCACGCGTTCTTGCAGAAGACTTGGGTTTGAGTCCTAGCACCCACACGGTAGTTTACCGCCAGCTATAGTTCTAGTTCTATAGACTCCAATGCCTGTTTCTGACCTCCATGGGCACCAGGCAGTCTCATATGTGTATGTATATATTTTGCATATATATGAAATCCTCCTCTTGGAAAGTTTCACGGCTTCATTACTTACTATTTTGCGTACATGGCTCAGTGCACTCCCCTCTTTGCCTTTACAATTGTCCACTTGATATGGGGGTGTAATAACAACTTCTTCCATGACTACGATGTTTTTTTCTTGCCATTTACAGTCTTTAATGCTGGAAGGACAAGAATATAGGTGAATATAACATCCTGGGGTCATCCCATCCCTCCTGTCTAATGAAGATCTAACTTTAGAGCCAGGCGTTGTGGCACACACCTTTCATCTTAGCACTAGGGAGGCAGAGGCAGGTGGATCTCTGAGTTCAAAGCCAGCCTGGTCTATAGAATGAGTTCCAGGACAGCCAGAGCTACACAGAGAAACCCTGTTTTGAAAAGATAAATAAATAAACCAACCAACAAACAGCTGGTAGGCTGACTCCAAGTTCTCAGCTTACCATTCAGCCAGAGAGAGGAGGCACCAAACATTCCCTGAGCACCCTTGGAGAGGAAAGCACTAGGGAGAGCCCAGAACTGTTAGTCTGAAGCATCAAGGGCCTGGAGAACCATAAAACATTTGGTAGCAGTCTCAGAAGCTCAAACCAAATTACAAATGAATAACCAGACCTAGACCACCTGACTTAGTGGCCTAGGGCAGAGGCTGGCAAATGCTTTCTAACCAGGGTCAGAACATGAACAGCTACAGAACTCTGTCAACAGATGACACATATACAAAGGGCAGATCTGTCCCCCACTCCTATAATCTGGCCACCATGAGCCTAGGGGAAAAATACCACTTGTAGAAATACAGTGATCTGTACTTTGCTTCCACCCAGCCCCATACCCTCAAACATGCAAGCTGCATTCCAACTGACCCCACTCAACTACCACAGCCAAACACCTGCCAGACCAGGAAGCTCCATCTGAGTTCACACACGGGGAATCCCAGGGCAGCTGATGCTACTAAGAGAGTTCCTTCACATACCTGGAAATGCTTAGATACACCCGGCCCCAGACAGTTCTACTGCCAGCTGCCATCTGTGCACCAGACCCTGGGTGGTTAAACAGGGTAACAGAAGGCAGCAGGGGGGTTGAGGTGGGTGTCAAATGTTCCAGGGTTTCAGCAGTTAGGGAAGCTGGTAGAGCGTCAAATGACTTCTGCTGTGACAACATGTGTTTTAGGAGGAGGTAAGAAGATAGCCTTCTGTTCTTCCTAACTCCCTGTGTTTGTCCCAAGGCAAACTAGGGAAATTACATAACTTCCTTTAATAAAACCACAAGCTATTTTAGAGGAAAGGATGGCAATAATAACAAACAAGAAGCCATTCATGAGCTCTAAATGATGGATTACTACTACTAGGGACCCTTACAAGACAATGCAACCCTAAACAAACTTACAAGTGACTCGGTTATGATCACAGTATTCCCCTGCGCAAACGGAGCTCCCAGCATCACATCTCTAGATGCCAATGTGCTGCCAATACCTACCCCAGTTTCCCTGGTACACTTTCAGGAAGACAACCACCCAGAAGCCTTTCATCAGATAAACAACCAGCCAGTATCAGCTCTAGGAAAAGGAACCCTTATGCTCCCACAACTCACGTCTTGTGAATGGTCTGGAAGAGCTGCTGGCCCTCCAGGGAGACACCAGCGCTGATTGCATAGGCCTGGCTCAGCTTCTCCTCCTTCTCCGTCCGTGCTTTGCTGGCAAGCTAGGGGTGAGGGAGAGGAAAAATACTCAGAAGAACATTTCCCTTTGTTCTTTCCAACTCAGGACCTTAAACTAAGGAAGAAGGTCAGAAAAGAGTGGTCTGGAATCATTTTGGTTAGAGATCTGATGAAACAAACAAACCCCCAAATACAGCATCTAGTTACTGCCTGCAATTCGTGGCAAACACTCCCTCTTTTCTATTTTTCCTGAGGGCCTCCTATGTGCCAGACATGTACTGTGCTACTTTAGAGATTCAGGCTCTGAAGGGAGCGTGAAAACACGAGACAACTCCAGCGAAAAGAAACAGGAAAATCAAGCATGGTAACATGCTGTACAACAGGGGTCAGGATGGTTATGAGAGGTGATGGTCAGAGAAAAACACAATGCATGTACTTCTACTTAAAGATAAAGTACACATCCATCCACTACTATGCGAACTAAAGCCTCAGGCTTAAAATTAATATGCACTTTCAAAGACCAAGAACTGAGGCCCAGCTCTTGGCAGTCAAGGCTCACCTTGTCCAGCACCTTATGCTCACCAACAGCCAAGCCTAAAGTAAACCTAACCTACCTCCACCTGAGATGAAGGTAGGCCTGCCCCATTCTGCTCTGAGAAAAAGGAAAGGTCTGAATTCTACCTCGTGCCTGCCCCTTCACTGCCCATGGTGGACCAATCACACGATGATCAAAGCAAATTCTACTAAAATTTAAGACTCCTGGCAAGGCTGGGCACACTGTCAACCTGTACTGTCCCCCCTTACAGTACTGCTTGCTAGAAAAATTGTGAGTATGAGAGAAAAACGTGTTGGACAAGGCAGTTAAAGAAAACAGGCACCACTGGGCACGGTGATGCACACCGTTAATCCCAGCACTCAGGAGGCAGAGGCAGGCAGATCTCTGCTTCCAGGACAGCCAGGACTGTTGCACTAGAAACCCTGTCTCAAACCAAAACAAACAAACAAACAACAAAAACAAACCAAAAAGAAAAAGAAACACAGGCAGATACTGCACCTGAAAAATCAAGAGCGATCTACAATTTTTGGTTCATGAACACTAATAGTTCGTTCATACACAGAACATAAACATCAAATGAAGCCACAGCACACTAAACACACACACTGTGATGATAAATACTTATTTGAACAGAAGGGCTAGGGCACACATGCTGTCATTTTAGTCTCTAGATAAAAGCAGAAAGCATGACAAACCTCTTCTGTGATTTGAAGCCAGAGCTCACCTGGTCTCCAAATATGGACAGACACAAATATGACAGCAGCGTTAGTAATTATCTTGCAGGCCTGGCTGCTGTTCTGGCCCCATCAAGCTACATCTTCACGGAGGAATCAATGTACTCTGAGCAAGGAAATCCAAACTGAAGTAAGACCGGTTAGAGCTTGGAAACACTGGGTTTCTACAGATAAGCAACAAAGCAATGCCTTTTCAGGAACCAAGAAAACCCTGGTAACCAACCACAAGGGGTTTCCTTGGGTCTTACTTCCCAAACAATGTCTCAGAGAATGAAATCTCCAAAGAAAGGAGGATAAGCCAGAGGGCAGTGGCACTTCTCAGAGCCCCCGGGGCCTAGGCAAGAGCTCCTTCACTGAGCTGTGCCTCACCTCCTGGACAATGGACTCCATTACTCTATGCTGAATTACCTGCAGCTAAGTTTTCGACCCCTTGACTTACTGCAGATGTTTACATCTTCAGCCATCAGATTACTTGTGTCCTCAGGGCCACGTAAAGAGCGCTCTAAGAACCTGCCTTCCTTCACCAGAATGTTGTACAATGGGGTCAGCTTCTCTCATAGATGCCCCAACACGGGCTGCAGCTCAGTGGGTACAGCGCTGGCCTAGCGAGTATCAAACACTAGATTTGATCCCTGGCACTGCAGAACTAAGGTATGGTGACAAAGCTAGAATCAGAAGTTCAAGGTCATTCTCAGTTATACAGTAACAATAAGTTCCAGGACAGCCTGGGATGTGTCTGTGAGATCCTGTCTCATCTCAAAAAGACCCAACCAATCAGGCATAGAGAAAGTGTTCCCACAAAAACAATCAACATTTGTGTCCTCTCCTTAAAATTTTGAGTCAGAGAAAGACATCACTTAATATCGCTCTTCATTAGAATGAACTCACATAGAACACAGATCAGTCTTCTTAGAGCAAATGAGCATCATTCTCTCATCTTGGTTGTTTACAAAAATGCCTACACTATTATAAACTGGTGATATGTTCCAATTATTCCAAATTGGCAAACTTATGGTTCTTGACTGAAGATCAGAGAGAACTAATAATAGCAAAGGTGCTCAGTGCTTCTCTTGGGCTTGATAGGGTTTTTAGTACATTAAAAAAAATTCAGACTATCATCTAGCACGTGGCTTTGCTACCAATCAAAACAAGCACTAACCAGTCAGTACCTTAAAAAATAAAAAAACACCACGTTTAAAAGCACACCAGGCTCAGGAAAATTAAAGCATAAACCCATAAGTTCATGTCACTAATAGTATGTGCCTTAACCTAAATGATGTACCTGAAAACCTACACTTGCTCGGCCCCTGTCTGTCACTGCCTAGTATTCCCCCTGAAAACAAAATAACTTCTACAAACCAGAGCTTCCTCCTGAGGCCACTTTATAAATAGCATGTGCCCACATCTTGATGTGGGCAGAGGAAAAAAACTGCATGAACATGATACCAAAACAAAACGATCAATATTTAGTGGCTCTGGGCTGGTAAGATAGTTTGTTCAGTGGGCAAAAGTACTTGTTGCCAACAACGCACTGGCCTGAGTTCAATACCCAGAATCCACAAGGCGGAAGGAAAACCAGCTCCTGCAAACTGTCCTCTGACTTTACATGCATGCACACTTGCACTTACATATATACAAAAGACATGTAAAAAATTAAAATAGAAAAAGTAGCTCCTAGTCAAGTGATTTAAGGAACAACAGGACGTCTACAAAGCCCTTCTGTGTACTTAAAGTGATATGTGTTAGGGGAAAAGGAAGACTCACAAGAAAATCCAAGCAATATGTACTTCATCTTGTTGCCAACTGAGCCATCTTATTTCCATACACCCAAGAAAGCAGGTGCTGAGGAAACTCCAGAGGGACTCCTACTGCAAGCACTAAACAGACTGAGACAGCTGCCAGGACAAGAAGAAGAGTCCAGGGAGAAACCTGCCGCTGTGACCTACTGACTTCGCTGCGCCACTCGCAACTCGCCTCCCTCTGTATCTGGGTCTTGTAAGCAGCTGCCCTTACAGAGGGGTTAGGAAACAACACAGCTGCTGTCTGATATGGCTGGTGCTACCTTCAAGCCCAGTGTAGCTAAAAACTTCAATCTTTCAGATTGGAGGCATGCTCTTAGTACCCCTCCTCCTTTGAATGGTAACTGATTTTTCTGTGGATGGGTGTTTTGTCTGCATGTGTGTGTTGTGCACAAAGAGCATGCCTAGTGTTCAGAGGCCAAAGAGGGTATCAGATCACCTGAGACTGGAGTTACAGATGGTTGTGAGCTGCCATGTAGGTGCTGAAAATTGAACCTGGGTCCTCTGGAAGAGAAGCCAGTGTTCTTGACCACTGAGCCATCTCTTCAGCTCCTTGGAAGCCCTTTTGATGCAAGGTCTCATTTTAGGGCTGGCCTAAAACCTGCAATCCTTCTGTTTGCTTCTGCTTCTGAGTGGTGGTGCTACTTGTGCTACTACACCAATGGAAAAACCTCATTCTTAGCTGGTAACAAATAAGCTCTCAAACAGGTATCTTCCAAATGTCAGTGCCTTCCAAATATCCCATGCCTGAGTTTCCTAGCTAAACGCTCCTGCCTAAAAGTTCCAATCAAATACTGCTCCGGGCCAGATACAGTATCATGCACCTGTGGACCCCAGCTTCTTGGGAGGAAGGCTAAGGTGACATCACTTGAGGGCAGGAGTCCAAGGCCAGGCAAAACAACATGGCAAAACCCAATCTATTTAAAACGTGTGCAAGCGATCAAGAGAAGGGGCGGGGTGGGGGGTGGGGATAAAAAGATCTCCTTACAATCCTAGACAGCTGGAAACTAAAAAAATACAGTGTCCCATGGGAAGCTGTGTCCTAGAATACATAATGCTGAATCAAACGGGAAGGGTAGAGCCAAAAGGGCCTGGCAATAAAAACTAAAATTCTAAGATTCCACATTGAATGACAATTTATGCCAGGCGATGCACCAAGACATAATTAAGCAATCCTCAAATAATCCTGTGAAATAGGGATTAAGCTACTTCCATTTGCTAGATGAAGAAACTAAAACACAACTGACAAAAAAAATTACCCCAAATTAACAAGCCACAGTGGTAAGATCTAGATTTGAACCTGGACAGGCTGGTTCTAGAACATTCTATTTTTTTCCAGTGCTGGGGATAGAGCTCAGAGATTCATTCATGCTGGTAAAATGTTCTACCACTGACACCCCCCGCCCCCGAGCAAGTAAGTGTTCTTAACCACCATGCCGTATCTCCCAGTGTCAGCAGCAAGAGTTAACTCTAGGGCTAGTGAGACAGATGGCTCTGTGAGCAAAAGCACTTGTCACTGGGCCTGATGATCTGGGTAGAACAGAGTAACTCCTTTAAGTTGTCCTGTGATTTCCACATAAGTACTACGGCATATGTGTGCCCCAAATTCACGCATATAAATAAATGCAATTAAACTTATTTTAAATGGAAAAATAAAACCTAGCCTAATTTTAAAACAGGAAAAAGAGAAGAAAAAGAACAGAAGTTAAATCTAAGCATGCTTGCAATGGTAGCACTTGGACACTAAAGCAGGAGTGCTCCCTCTCTAAGCCAGCTTGGCTACAGGGTAAAACCCTGTCTCAAAAACAAACACCACCACAAGACAGTCAAGTCTATGGCTGGCTACAGTGTCAATCTGTAGGACTAACATGGTGGGAACAACTCCTTTCACAAAGTATACCCAGACACACCCTGAAAATAAATTCTTAAAATGTGAAGTATTTTTTTCAGGTCTG